GAGGATTGGAGCGTGGGGGGTTGGGGGGCGGGGAGCCGCACCCTCCGGCCACCGGCAGTCCGTCGCAGGTGGAGCCAGACCACTGGCCTCGCAGCATCCGGCCAGTGGTCCTGGCCCGGCGGCCTCCTGTCGCGCCGGGCCACTCGGCCTCTCCTCCCTCGCACTCTGTTTTTAGTAACAACTCATTCAGGCGCACTAGGATCCACGGTTCACAAAGCTCCTTCACATTTTTGTCCCCTGGGTGTCCACCGCAGCCCCAGGGGTGACCGGGAAGGGCACTGAGGCCCAGGGGCTGGAATGGGTGCTACCCGTGTCTTAGGCGGAGGTGTCCTGCCCCAGCATCGGGTACGTTTGCAAAATCTGCAGGAGTATCTTGGAGGTCGAGTGAGTGTCTTACGTCGCTGGTGTCGCCCCCAGCGCCTGGCACCGAAAGGGAACTCGCACCTCCTGGCGCTGACGGGGAGGCTGGCTAGTGTATGCCTGCCTGGCAGCCTTCCTGTGCACTCAGTGCTCTGGGCATGGCCCTGCCCGACGATGCTGGATCATTTTCAGTAAAATAAATCAATACTGGATAATTTTCACCCAGCAAACATTTTCATATAAAAGGGCTTTTATCAGACAGCGCCGTACTGCTGGTGGGAGTTAAAGAAGTACAATTTTCCTGGAGGAAAATACGGTCATGCATAATGGGAAGAGAGAACACATTAAAGTGATAACAGAGTCACATTAAAGATGATAATCCACCTTTGGTGGCTCTTGACCCCTCAGCTGACACAGGCCTCCAGTACAGGCACCCTTTATGTCTCAGCCCCTGAGAAGGGTCTTGGGTGAGCTCTCACACAGTTCTTTCCTATTCTTTCATTTCATCCACACATGTATGTTTCTGCCTGTAAGACCACCTGAGGGCAGCCCCCTTCCTCTACTTCTCCAGCCTGTAGCATCTTGAGAACATCGATGACTATACTAAGAAAAACAAACTCTTCATCAACAAGGGTATCTGCATAATGAACATTGTAGACCTAACCCTGAATTGTACCCCACATCTTTAAAATAAAAAAATTAGGCCGGGCTCGGCAGCTTTGCCTGTAATCCCAGCACTTTGGGAGGATGAGGTGAGTGGATAGCCTGAGCTTGCAGGTTTGAGGCCAGCCAGGGCAACTTGGCAAGACCTCGTCTCTACAAGACATCAAAAAGTAGCTGGGCGTGGTAGCACACGCCTGTAGTTCCGGCTACTTGGAAGGCTGAGGCAGAAGGATCGCCAGAGTCCAGTAGATCGATGCTAGGGTGGCAGAGTGTGCGTGCCACTGCACTCCAGCCTGGGTGACGGAATGAGACTCCAACTCAAAAAAAAAAAGTTTTTTTAAAAAAGAAAGAAAAACAAACTTTAGAAAGGCAAAATAGCTCTTCATTGTCTAGAGACCTCAATATGCAAAAAGCACACCATGCTTGCTAACTGTTTTATAGAGGGCTTTTTTTTGTTCTGATGAGTCCTTCAAAGCATGTGTAATAGGATGTAAAAATGGGTCTCTTCCCGTCTCAGTTCACAGTAAGTGCCAATTACTCCCACATTATAAAATGAGACACAAGACCACCAAAGCAGAACTTGCAAAGTAGCTGTCCGGAAAGCAGTGTGTGACTTCTAGTCTATGAAGAAGACTGGGGAAGCTAGAGAGAATTCTAGTAGGATAGGTGGTCACAGTCATCAATGTGTGTGGGTTCCGCCCATCCATGTTGAAGGAGGATCACTAAGAGAGTTTAGTATGCAGTCTTCTAGATTGGGAAAACTAGCTACTATTCGGTTGATGCTGAGAAAAGCCAAGGACTTGTGACTGGATAACTACTCTGACAGTTAAGCAAAAAGAGATTGTTGCTTTGGCAAAGTATTTCACACCCAGAGTTTTTCAAGATAAAAACTGAGCATCTCCCATCTATTTCCCATAACGGGAGCGAATTGGCCAGGGGATGATCTTAAGACCTGTCCGAGGGAATTTCTGCAGGGGTGAAGTGAGATCCACAGGAGAGTTGACCACTGGATCCTTGAGGATGAAATAGATGAACTCAACAGCCCAGTCAAAAAGATACATTTACCCACATCAAGAAATCCCAAGAAATAAGAAGGTGGGAAGGTCTTTTAAAGCATCCACAAGAAAATGAGTCAGCATTAAGTAATACTGAGTACAGAAAGCACTGGTGCCAACTCACAACAGTACGGGACCAAAAAGAACTTTTCTACTCCTTACTTCTCCTCCCCACTACCACTCCCAAGGTCTGGAGTAGTCTGAGGCATCCTATTTAGTGGGGAAGGAGAAGCAAGGACTTGAAGAAGCTACGTACACACTCTCCTTTCTCAGTTCCAGAGGAGGAAAAAAGATTGAACCTTGAAGTTTGATGTTTTACATTTTTTTATAGGACTGAACTCTTAAATATCAAAATGTGAAAGTGTGTGTGTGAGTGTGTGTGTGTGTATGTGTGGAGGGAGGGAAAGAGAGAGAAAGATTTTAAAAGAAGCTAAGGACTTTTTATTACCTGTGAGCAGAAAAGTCAAGGCAGCATCCTGAGATTTCATCCAAAGAGACAAGGAAGAACCACCTTCAGAGCCAGTTTTAACAGAGGTTCTAAGAATAAGTTGTTTTCCAACTTTACCTCTTGAATGCATGCATCAATACTTCAGCTAACCTACAGTTGTGTTATTATGCTATATCCCTTAATACAATTTCTTAGAAGTGTTTAGATGTTCAACTATGTACATGCCACTGACTAGTTCTTTCCCTGAGCAGCCTGGCTGAATTACAGATCTTTGATGGGGCTAGATTTAAATTATTTAGTTGTTTCTTATTCAAAGGCCTTGTCTCCCCATGAAAGGAAAATATATAAAGTATTTGGAGCCATACAGACTATATGTCTATACCATATAGGTTAGGAAAGCTTTTCCATTTGATTATTTTATTTGATCCTCATAAACCTAGTGTGGTTAGGACCATTATTTTACAGATGAGAAAACTGAGGCTCAAATAAGTTAAATTATTTACTTCAAGGTCAGTTTCCTGCTTTTGCCAAAGAAAGATTAGCTAGCTGTAAACCAATTCTCTCACCAAAAAGTAGAAAAGCTGGCAGAATACATGTTTAAAATCTGTTTGAAGTCATTAGAGAGCTATCAAAGCAGCAAGAGCTTGGAGGGCCAAGATCTGGAAACTGAGAGATTATATTTGGCACCATTTTTCTCCTTGAAGCACTTGCTAATTAGCAAGCAATGTCTTGAAGCCCTCAGAAATTGGGCTGAAAGCAGCAGTCGAGAAGCTGAGAAACTGAACAGTACTTTCGGCAGTGGATATGGGGAGGGGATAGTGACAGTGAAGGAGTGGACAAAAGTAGGAGTTCAGGGCCCCCAAGGAGAAGCCCTGGTACACACTCATAGCTTTCAGTTGAGATCCCTAAAGAGCTATACCCTAAGAGTAGAGGTGAATTGGAAATAGGCCAGCCCTCACAAAGACCGAAGCTCTGCTTCTCATTGGCCTGATCCCTAATTGGACTAAGAAGATTTTACCATGCCATTATATACTACCTGTTAGAAGCAAACATGAATCACTTCTTGAGAAAGATAAAATCATCCAAAAGCTAAGGGGGAATCTCTGATTAAGACAGTGATTTCATTATTAAGACAGTTTCTTTGCTTGTGGAAAACAAGGGTTTGGTTGTTTTTTTGTTGTTGTTTTTATTTTACAGAGTCACAACATAATTTTCCCAATAGCACAATGCAGTAAACATAACTCATTGTACAGATGAGATAGACATTACCAAGAACTCGGAAAAGTGGTAACTAGGTTCTAAGCATGTTTGGCTACTGTCTCATATCCCTAGACGTTTAAAGACATATAAAGATGCAATCGATTTCTTAAACTAGTAAAATTGCTAATATAAATTTAGATCAGTGTTTAACATATGTTTGAAAAAAATGAGTACTTGAGAACATGGATTTTGTATGCATTTATTATCCAGCCGAATAACAAATTTGCAAATCATAAGTGTGTATTACATAGTAAAACCAAGATTAGACTAAAATAGACCATAGTATCTTTATATACTTCCTAGAAGTTAATATATGGACTCTACAATATGTTCCTTTAGAGAATTCCAGGATTTTTTCTGTTTTCAACTTGGAAGCCAACTTAAAAACTAACAATAATTCTGTACATTTTGGTGTGTCATTACCACTTGGATAACTTCTCATAAAACTCTGAATGGCAAAATATGCAGATTAGGAAGTGTAGGCATTCTGATGACCAACTTTTGAGCTTTCTTCAAAAAGTCAGGAGTACACTAACTATGGTTTTAAGTAATGACTCACTGGTTAAGAATTATGAACCAACATTTTAGTTTAATTCTGTTCTTGTATTTGAATAACTATTAACATATCTGAGATGCATTGGAAACATATTTTAAATGCATGAAAATTCTAAGACTCTCAGGACTCCTGATTTATCAAGTACCACAAATCCAGAGGTTATAAGAAAGAACTGAAATCTATCATTAAATATTTCCATTGTTCTGAAGTTGTAAACTGTAGGCTGTGCCTTTAACATTTACTTTCATGTGCTTTAGTCATGGGTGATTTTAAACCCCGTCATTTTAAAATTCAGTAACTATGATTCTTCACCATAATAAAAACTGTAATGAAAATAATCAGATGTATAATTTGCTGTTATTAGCTATCTATTATGATTTGCTTGCAACCAAACTAACTATAAACCAACTAATCAATATTTCAAATAATTTCAGATTAGCTAACAGATCTTATTTACTATCAAATGTATACTTAAGAGGTTATTAGTTATTAAAATGTATAAGAAGCATAAAGATCTGAAATAGCATAAGATGAAATGAGATAATTTATTTTTTGGAGATAGTGTCTCACACTTTCATCCAGGTCAGAGTGCAGTGACTTGATCACAATTCACTACAGCCTCAACCTCCTGAGCTCAAGCAATTCTCCTACATCAGCCTTCCAAGTAGCTAGGACTATAGATGCATGCCACCATGCCTGACTAATTTTTTTATTTTCTGTAGAGATGAGGTCTTGCTATGTTGCCTAGGCTGGTCTCGAACTCCTGGACTCAGACAGAGTCTCATCCTCTCAAAGCACTAGAATTGCAAGAATGAGTCACCACACCCAGCCAAAAGGAAATATATTTTTTAGAGTTTTTTATAATTTCTTTTGAGGTCCAAAAAGTTTTAAAAGATATAGTGGCCTGTTGAAATAAACCATGTTAAATGGTATACAATTTGACTATTAATGTAAAACAAAATAGGAGCACAATTTTTTAAGTAACTGATTAAGCCTGGAAAAATGACTTCAAATATGACCTTTAATATACCGCTAACAGAAATTAGATTACTGGATGAGGATACTGATGAGGTGTAACATTCAGGCAATTGTAGGGCCCTTTTTGGACCTGATGAATTTAAGACATTTGGCAAGCCTGCCACATAGCACAGCCCCATTTCATCCTGTATGGATGTGCCACATGAAGTGCTACAGCACTGGCCTAAGTTATGGGACATCTAGATGAATACCCAGCAGGCAGCTGGAATTAGGCAAAAAAGTCAGGATGAGAGCTGCAACAGTGGGGGTCATCCAAAGCAACAATTTAAGCCATGGACGTGGATGACGTTCCCCATGAAGAGACAGCAGAGAGAGAAGAGGTAGACAGAGAAGAGACAAACTTGGGGAACGTCCTTACTTAGAGAACAGGAAGTGGAAAGGAGCAAATTAAAGAGACACAAGCATGTATTTGGGAGTCTAGCTTCACCCATTTTAGCAGGACTGCTTGCTCCCTGTGCTACACAGCTGACACTACTCGAAATGAATCCTCACAGCTCTTGCCTTTTTTTCTTTCTTCCTTTCTTCTTCTTTTTCTTTTTTTTCTTTTTTTGAGTTGGAGTGTCACTTCATCACCCAGGCTGGAGTGCAGTAGTATGCTTACGGCCACCCCAGCGTCAATCCCCTGGGCTCCAGCGATCCTTACACCTCAGCCTTCCAAGTAGCCGGAACTACAGGCACTCGCTACCATGCCCAGCTGATTTTTTTATTCATTGTAGAGATGCAATCTCACCAAGTTGCCCGGGTTGGTCTTGAACCCACAAGCTCAGGCAATTCACTTGCCTCAGCCTCCCAAAGTGCTGGGATTACAGGCTGAGCCACCGAGTCCGGCCTTTTTTTTTTTTAAGAGACAGGATCTCGTTCTGTCACCAAGGCTGGAGTGCAGTGGCACCATCATAGCTCACTGCAGCCTCAAAATCCTGGGCTCAAGTGATCATCCTGCTTCAGCCTTCCAAGTAGCTGGGACTCAGGTATGACCCATACCTGAGTGAACCAGGTGTGAACCTTTTTCTTTTTCTTTTCTTTTTTTTTTTTTTCCTGGTAGAGAAGAGATCTCACTAGGTTATTCAGACTGGTCTAGAACTCCCAGCTTCAAGAGATTCTCCCCATTTGGCCTCCCAAAGTGCTGAGATTGCAGGCGTGAGCCACCACACCCAGAAGTCCTTGCGCTATTTATAGTCTCAGTCTTAACTTTTCTGACAGTTCATCCCCTCTCCTTTTCCCCACCCTCCACCTCACTGCATGCCTTCCTATTTATGGCCTTACCTTACATCATAGAAATAATGTGCTCGGCACTGCTTGCTCATCTTTAATTTTGTGCTTCTCTCATCTGTCTCAGTTTGAATTCCCCCTTTGACAGCACTGTCTCCTGCTAACCTGAGGACAATCCCATTATGAGAGATGGGACCGCGTGTCTGAATACAGTCCCTTGCAAGTGGTACCTCCACTAAGTTCCCCTTGAGCCCAGGAGCAGGACAGATTGTCTAGAATAAAACTAGCATCATGTAATGTCATAGAAAGGACAGAAAGTTTCAAGGAAAATGGTCACTTGGGAAGGGGCCTCTTAATGCCTACAAAACAAAGTCCCAGATTCTTAGCCAATCTTAAGGGTTAGAGATGAACCTTTTCAGACTTAGTTACTGCTGTATCCCCACAAGATCCTACACTGAAAACTAGACTGCTTGCTCATTACAAGTCGTGCTCCCTGCACAAAGGCTTCTGTGCTTCTGCTCATGCTAGCAAGGAAGACAACTGGTCTCCTATTCAATGTAGTCTGTGAACGTGATTGAGCTTGGCACAAATTCGTGATAAATAACAGATACTTTAGAAATAAGGGAGTCTCAGGTAACGATGTGGGTTGGTGCCATGATACTCATCAAGGTATTCTAAGTGATCAGTAAGGTCGCTTTTCACAGGAAGGACTGGAGAAGAGAGGCTGAGACTAGATCGATTCATTGAGCCAAGCAACTTCTCTAGTAAAATTGGGTGGTCAGTGACTTGTGTGGTATATCAATTTCTTCACTAAAACTGTTACCAAAGAAAACAAAGAAAAACAAAACCAAAAGATGAATGGTGGATAGAGTATCCAGGTACAAATTCAAAGACTCATGATTCTTTAAGGAGTGGAATTAGAGAACATTGTTTGGCCAAAAGATGCTGTCCCTCCAAGATCAGATTTTCAAGAAAAGCAAGAATTGGTCCAGAGTCTGAGTAGATGTTCAAGTGCTTTCTGGACTAGGACTGGTGGCTGTCAGACACTTGGCTGCCTGCTGACCTTAGCAAGGGCATCACTGACGACATCGAGGTCATGCTGCAGCTCACTCATGGCGCTGGTTATGCTCTTGGTGTCTTTCAGGATCTGAATACTCCGTGTATATGGATTATACTTCACTCCAAATGGACGCTTAATTGTTTTGGTAAATTCTCTATTTAAGAAAACAAATAAGAGACAATTAATTTCTAGAGTGTAAGTGACAAAAACTAAATAAATAGCAGAAGACCTATTTCACACACTAGACAAAAATACATCTTTGTTAGATACACATGCAGGCAATCTGACCTACTTCTCTCCACTGTATGGACAGAACCTCTCCCCACCCCCACCCCAGAAATCCTACTGGTGGAAAACCTAAAGTGGCCATGGATACATCTACTCTGTCATTACTAGGAAAGATCGTGTAAATGGGTATATTAATCATTTATTATTGCATGATCTCCTGACTACAGTAAGGAGACCAACCACAGTGGCTTTATCAGTGGACATGAAACTGTGTCATTACAACACTTGACCACTTAGTTAAAAGCCCCACAGTCATGCTCTATGCCTACCCACACGTGTAACCCATGTGTATACAACAAACAGTATACACATACATACACATACTCACACCCCAAGACAGGCCAGGAATGACCTTGTCTCCTGCATGTGTGCATTCTTTCTGCTTAGACTGTTTTCCTCTAGCCTCCTCTCAAATGACCTAAATTCTGCCCTTTCTCTTTTTTTTTCTTTGAGTTGGAGTCTCACTCTGTCTCCCAGGCTGGAGTGCAGTGGCACTGCTGGGATTACAGACTTGAGCCACCGCACCTGGCCTTGCCCTTTCTTTATGTATTAAAGTTCTGCCTCCTTTATCAAACTACCATTTGAACTTCTCATTTGGCACCCCCAAGAACAATCTTGTTCAGGACTCTTAGGGAAAACTGTGTAGCAATGGACATTTGGACATAAGCAGGAGCTGAGATTCAGCTTGTAATCCACCTGGTCTCCCCAGAGGAAACCGCTCTTACTAATTTGCACAAAGGTGCCATTTGTGCTAGAAGAGGCCCTGCTGCTATTAGTATTGGGTCCTGTGCATGACCTAACTCCCCAAAGAATGATAAATTCCCAGAAAACAAGGACTATGTCTTCAACCCTTATCTTTCCCCATAATCACAAGGTGACCTCATGACCCCTTCTACCAAACACTGTCTTGTGTCTTCCAAAATCCTTTTATCTGAACTATCTTAGTTCAGGCTTTTGTTTTCACCTGAAGTGAAACTGCAAAAATCTTCTAAAAAGTTTCTCTGCCTCCAATATCCTCTGTTCTTAACTAGTTTTGATTGCATTGTACTATCTCCTATATTTTTCAAAATTCTGACCTTTTGGCATGCTATCTTTCAGCTTAAAGCTTAACGTATCTAGGCCAGGCATAGTAACTCATGCCTGTAATTCCAGCACTTTGGGAAGCCAAGGCAGAAGGATTGCCTAAACCCAGTTATTGGACACCAGTCTAGGCAACATAGTGAGAGCTTGTCTCTACAAAAATAAATAAATAAGTTGGGGCAACCCCTTCAGGTCCCCTCCTACTGTGGGAGCTTTTCTGTTCTCTCAATAAATCCTGCTTTCTCAAAAATAAATAAATAAGTTACACGTGGTGGCATGTACCTGTAGTACTAGCTATATGGCAGGATGAGACAGAAGGATCACCTAAGTCTAGGAGGTCAAGACTGCAGTGAGCTGTGATCATACCACTGCACTCCAGCCTGGGCAACAAAATAAAACCCTGTCTCTAAAAAAAAAAAAAAAAACTCTTAATATATTAAATAATATCCATTCTTCAAGTCCTTTCTCAAATGCTATTAAGATTTCCCTGTTCCCTGAGTTATAATGAATTGCTCCCAAATAAAATGCAGAACAATATTTCATTTGTATCTCCAAAGCTTTTGTCACTTTCTATGTTGTTATATAATAATTTGTACAAATAACTTATTTTTCCTATTAGACTATAAGCTTTCTGACTGGAAGAATTGGAAAGAAAGCAATTTCTCAGCATATCTGATTCATATTTGTAACTACATGAAGTCGTTATACACAACATACTCTGAATACCTGCTATAAAATGATGATGTGTTACAGACAGAAGTTTCCAGCTGCTTATTTCTGTGACTTGTGACCATCATTGGGCCTACACTTTGCAGAAGAAAATAAAGGCATGAGAAAGATATACTATACCTCATCTTCTCCTTTGCATCTTCAAAGCTTTCGGATACAAAGTAGACATCCTGAAAAGTTGTGATGAGACATTCTTGTTTGCAGGTAATCTTGGGATCAAAAGTCTTTACTTTGGCACGTCCAGAAAGCGCATGCTAGAGGACAAAGAGTCATTGGATCAAAGAAGATTATGTACTTTTATAGATCACACGATTGCCCTCACTGGCACACCTCTGGGCATATTACTAATGCAATAGCCCCAACTTATAATTCCAAATATTTCCTACAGCTCTAGTCAACCCACAACACACTCCAGCAAAACAAATGGCTTGCAATTCCCCATCAATGCCCCAAGATCATCTCCATGGCTTTGTTCTAACTCTCTTTTTCATGTGGAAGGCACCCAAGCATCTTATTTATTTATTTCTGCATTATGACACCTACTTTCTACCTGGCAATAGTTATTCCTATACATGACTTATATCCATCACTAGGTGCCCCTTAAGAGCAAGACCGTATCTCGGACAGTGTTTCAAACATATCCATCACTCAACAAACCTAAGTTCATCCATTCATGGGCTAAATAATAAATCTCAAAGAATTCCTTAGAAATTTTAGGTGTCATTGCTAGCATAACAGAAATGCTAAAGAAACAGCAAGCCTTTGTTAGCAAAGCCTTTAAAACACTTTTATTTGAAAGATATTATATATATGATTCCTAACACCCCAAGTATTATCCATAGTAAGCTCTTGTTCAAATACAATAATTATTTCAAGTTTTACTCATTATGTTAGCTAAATACAGCTATATGCAAAGATTTACAACTCTTACTTTGAGTTCACTGATAGACGAAAGTAAGCCAGCGCCAAAGACTCTTAGCTGCCCATCTTGTTTACATAGACCGAACTCCACAGTGAAAAAGTAGCACTGCAAAAGGACATCAATATTACTCTCACATTCTGAATGACTCAACTTAAGCAAATTACAATTCTTGGTCACTGACCCAAAGTATCTCAGAAAAAATATCTAAGATCCCAACCTAGTTCACAAGTCTTTCCACAATCTGGTCCTATTCTCAACCAGTACTTCTCAAACTTTTGTTCTGATGACTCTTATATGTTGTTAAAAATTACTGAGGATCCCAAAGATTGTTTTTTGGCATAGGTCATTGCTAGCCATATTAGCCACATTAAAAATTAAAATTGAAAAAAATTTTTAAATGTTTACTAATTAATTTTAGAATATAATAAACCCATTTTATGGAAACATAAATAACATTTGAATAAAAATCTTACACAACAAAAAAGTGAGAAAAATAGCATTGTTTTACATTGTTAAAATCTTTCTAATGTCTAGCTAGGCATCATTTAATGTCTGGCTAGAAGACAGATGGATTCTCATATCTGTTTCTGTATTTAACTTGTTGCAATATGTTGTTTGAGTGTATGAAGAAAATTCAGCTTCACTCAGTTATATAGTTAGAAAAGAGTTGAGTATCTTACTAGCCTTTTCAGGCTGGGCATGGTGGCTCATGCCTGGATTCCCAGCACTTTGGGAGGCAGAGGCAGGAGGATCGTTTGAGCCCTGGAGTTTGAGAACAGCCTAAGCAACATAGCGAGACCTCGTCTCTACACAAAATCTAAAAATTAGCCAGGTGCGATGGTGCACACCTGTGTTCAGGCTACTTGGGAGGCTGAGGCAGAAGGATCAACTGAGCTCAAGGAGGTCGAGGCTGCAGTGAGCTGTGATTTGCCACTGAACTCCAGCTGGAGCGGGAGTGAGACCCTGACTCAAAAAAAAAAAAAAAAAAAGAAAGAAATTAAGTTAATGGCCTTTTC